GCCTCCTCACAGGTGACCGTATCCTACTCAGAACTTGTGACTATAACAACGTATACAAGCGAAGGAGCTTTGCTGATTAAATTTAAGAAGCTTGAGATGGGGGTTGTGTATCCTGGATCACATAGGTCCTTCAAAATAGAGAAACTTTCCCCAAAACTGGCAGCTTTAAAGCTAGAAGAAGGGATCCAGGAGCAAAACATAACCCAAAAACGGGACAACCTAGAGCAAAAAGGATTGCTCCCCTGGGACCTCCAGAAACAAACACAACCCTGCCAACTTGACTTCTACCATACGGAACTACTGTTAAGGCACTGAATCTGCACCACTACACTGCTATATTGATCTCAGAGAATATCAGCAATCAGTAAAAATAGATCTGCTCCTGGAGCCTGTAGTACAAATATAGAGACATTAGTCACATGCTCACACATATATTGACTTAGAAGGCATTAAAGCAGCATTACTTGATGCTGCGAGAGAGAGGTATGGCTGAGGCTGAGACTGAAACAAAAGCATGCCTTGACCATGCAGGAGAGAGGAAAGCTGAAGGGAGAAGAGCAAGAGGATGGGAGTCCAAACATGCCCCGCAGGTCTCTGGCCCTTTGGCCTCATCTGTAGCATGGTCATGCCATTCGCCGTAAGGAGCATCGAAAGAGCACCTCTTCTTTACAAATCAACCAGGACATTTAAACTCTATTCTAAGTAGACATGTCTGTTGAGCTGGATGCCTTTCGAAATCTGCATGGGACAGACCAGAAAACACAAAATGTATGACTTGGTGGTAATTCTGTGCCGCCCACATACCATTCTCTCCTGCCATGCCCACTACTCAGGTCATAATATATTGCTTAACGTGATTTTCCTGACTGGTATTTTTGTAATGCAGTGATTGACTTGGCAATTTTAGGGACTTAGAGATGCAGTTTAAACGCACTAACTCATGTCGTTGATTATAAGCATGGAAATTTACATCACAATTTACCTCCACTGCTATTCCTGCAATGAAGTACTGGCACTGGGTGCCACCCAGCCCTACAAACCAATTGAGAAATCCTCAACAACCTGCAAGCTGGCAATTATAACTTGAAATTGGCCATGGTGGCAGTACTAGCACAATAGAAATTGTAAAGCACTACAATGTGTGTAAATGCTGGAAATGAGTGCTTCCTCTCATTGCTCACCAAACATATCATCAAACAGTTAGCAGCACACCACAGTTTGTACCTATTAAAACTGTGGGAGTAGGTTTTGGGCCTCATGGTAAAGGCACCCCCATCCAGTCGCAGAGTACCTGGCTGCAGTTCCAAAGCCCTGACTCCTGTTTGAAGTTTCCAGTTAATCTTAACTAGACTACTTTATATCTAGGATGTCTCCACAAATACTACAGCTGTGTTTATTATTATTATTGAAGTTCCAATATTCTTGTTTATTCCCTAAATTCCTGCAACAGCTGAGGCTGGGCTCTATGAGTTGTGGATTCAATCTGGGCCTTCCCCGTGAGTGACAGGGAACCAGTTACTTGAGATCTTATCACTGCCTTCCAGGGTTTACACTGGTCGGTCCGCATGGAGGAACCCATTGGACTGTTTCTCTTATTGTGTGTGTACTTGAATTTTCTCATGATAAAAAAGAAGAAAGGGGGACCACAGAAGCCACAACCTGCCCAGCCCTGGCCCAGCCTTACTAGGTTTCCACTTCCCGTTTTGCTTACCCGAGCTGTTCTCAGGGGCTGCGGCAGTGTGATCATCACTCTTCACCTGGCTTCTAGGCCTTCATGAATTCTCCAAGTTCCCACAACACCCACGTCTTCCCCTGAACAAATTCGCAAATCTGAATTTGAAGATTTAACTCATTTGAGCAAGAATTTAGAATAAATCTTCACAGAGCTTTCTCTCAAATTGGGTAACTTTTCTTTCTCTGGAAACCACAAAAATACACAAAGTCCTAAAAATCTTCAGTAACAAGGAGCACACAGACTGATACAAAAAAATTGGGAAGTTAAAAAATAAAACTCTAAGAATGGAAAGCAAAGGCTAGAAATAATGTTAACAATGTTAAATGCATAAGTAGAAAGGGACAAGCTACCAGAAGAATTACTATCTAAATGAAGAGTCTTCAAATTCAGCCCTAAGGAAGAGAGAAATTTACCATCAGGTAAGAACAAGTCTTTTTCTAATGTAGTATAATATCATGCTACATATCAAAGTACAGAAAGCTGAAAAATATAAAATTAACTCAGTCATGGCACATCATGAGTAATGGAAAAAGTAATCCAGAAATGAATTCTTAAAAGGAAAGAAAGATACACAAATTATGACAAAATTACCAGTATCAAAAGTAATCATATACATCCCTAGTATGAAACAGACCCAGGAAAATTAATTTGATAAACTTCAGACTGAATCTGACCTCTAAACAGCAGCATATTTTTTCTCATCGTGTTTCTGCTAGAAATGAAAATCAAAAACTGAAAATTGTATGTAAGTATACCTCAGAAGTAATTTTGGCCCCAATACTTAATATACACTTAACAATAATGTCCCATTGAGTCTCATTTTCCCACCACGTCATCACTGCCAGTGTTACTGTGTCCTATGTAAGTTACCAGAATGTGAGAGAAAGTCCACTTTCTTGGCATCATATTGGAAACCATTTTGTCAGATGAATTTAAGCAAATAGGTTCCTGTAAGTCTCTTACTTTAAAGATGTATTTTAACATAAATATAGAAGGCTTTCTATAGCCGTCATTTTAAAATGAAAAATGATTTTAGCTAGTTATTGATGAAAGACTGAAACGATCAAGCTTTGGTTTCCACTGAAGGAATCAACGTTCATGGAGGTGTTTCAAGAGTGCTTTAAAACTTCCTCCGATACATTAGCTATTTGTAACCGGTGATTTTTATGGCACACCCTTTTGTAAAATAGCTTTGCTTTCCTTTGGCCTCGAGAACATACTTAATGGTAGTTAATACCTGTAATTACATGAAATCCTTCATGTAAAGGCTTTTTTAACATGTGGTTAATTCTGGGTCCTCTACCTGTCATGAACAAGTAGGTGTTAAATAACTCGTTGAATCCTGATTCCCCCAAAATAGATTTAATCAATTTAATCACAATAGTTTTTCTTTTGTGGTTGCACTTGGAGCATGTGAGGAGAGAGAAACTGTACTGATTATTTTAACCAAGGAGATTTAATATTTGTAATTGTTAACTAGATATTGAAGAACAAAAAGGCAGAAAGAAAACAGTAAAGTGGTGATTTTCACAGGAAGGTCACTAGACCAGCATCATAAGCATCACTGGTGAACTTGTTAATTACACAGTTTCAGAGTGCAGGTGTCAGTCCTGCCTTGCAGGATCAAAACCATAGAGAGTGGGCCCAGCAGTCTGAGCTTTAACAGTTCCTCCAAACCAATCTAACATACGCTAAAGTTTTAAAGACACTATACTGAAATAGCAACAATTGGGAGCAGACACCACTCCTAGAACTGGGGCAGCAAAGAAATGTAATTGCAGAACCTAACAATACTGAGAAAAGGCACCCCTGGACCTGAAAACGCTTGAAAATGAGTCAATGTTTATTGAGTGCTGTGTCTGACTTCAGAGGATAGAATCAAAAATCTCAGAAAGAAATACCCCCATGTTGGAACTGGCATATCAAGAAGGCACATTGCCAAGTGTCAGGAAACCTACAGATCTCAATCAGCTGCAGCTACTGGAAGGCCCTAATGTAGCTCAAGAACTTTTGTTTAAGACTAACACGGTCAGGAAACTCTGGAGCCGCATCGGTGTAACAGTGGTTAAGATGGAGCTTGGGACACTCGGATCTTCCCATCTGTGCCTGAGTGGATCCCAGTGCTGTCTTCTCCGATTCCAGTTTCCTGTTCGTGTACACCCGGGAGGCAGCAGATGCTAGCTCAGATCCTGAGTCCTTGCCATCCTCTTGGGAGACCTGGATTAAATTCCTGGCTTCCGACTTCAGCCTGGCCAAGACCAAGCTGTTGTAGACACTGGGGAATGAATCACAGGATAAAAGTTCTCTCCAATTTTCAAATTAACAAAGGAAACTTAAAAAGAAAAAGAGACTCATTTGAATCAAACACAATCATATTCCTTCTTCCTTCACATGTGTAGTATTCTCCAACCCATTTATTGGCAGGGCCTAACAAAGAATAGGATTGTAGCTGAAAGAAAATAGTTTAATAACTGTTGTGATGGCCTTAATTATAATAAAAGTTGAAGCCAATAAAAATAGTATTTTCTGGCATGTATGGCTGGGTACACATGGACATTTTTTCTATTTCTCCTAATGAAAATTAAGAGACAGCATTTAGGACATCTGTAGATTTAAATAAAAAAACCATTCAAGGGCCTACATTGAAGCTTGCTGGAGTTGAGACTGAAAGATTATAGGCTGAGAACTGCTCAGTACTAGACAGCATAACATGTTGCAGTCAGCTGAGCCCAGTACTCTGAAGCCTTAGTAGTAAAGGAATGGACTAAAATGAAGCTGACCAGTCTAAGCTGTACGGGCCTTGTCTCACAAAGCAAGGCTGACAGCAAAGATTGTTGTGAAAGCAAAGTCACCAATCAGAAATGCACACACGACTGCTCATTTAAGCAGTCATCTATGGGTGATCCTGGTGAACGACACAATGAGTGAAAATGAACCAGCTGTTTTGCTCATTATGTAAACCAGCATTCCGGTAGTCCTACAGAAATCAGTGAATTCTTGCTTTCTGTATCCTTTAGAACTATTGGAAAATTTATTGTATTCTATTAGGAAAATACAGCTATTTCCCCCAAGTATCTCCAAGTATCTGTCCATCAAAAGAAACATTTCTTTTGTATTGCTAACAAGTTACTGAATAATTATCAGAAATATGCCCAGTCCTTTGAAAAATAAGGCAGAGCTAGTAGATAGATCTATTAGATCTTAAGGGTATTCACATTTTTCTCATTTTACATTAATATTTTTGTTTTGTCTTTTTATTTTTAAGGATACTGAGGAATCACGAAACCTCGCTGGCGAGCCTGTTGGAGATGACTACAGGAAGATGGGAACTCTCTTTGGTGAACTGAACAAAAGCCTCCTCAGCATGGGCTTCACAAGGATGTATCTTGGAGAACGAATTGTGGAACCAGTAATAGTCATTTTCTTCTGGGTTATGCTGTGGTTTCTTGGCCTACAAGCTCTTGGACTGGTTGCTGTTCTTTGTCTTGTCATTATTTATGTACAGCAGTGAAACATGGCAGGTTAATGGATGTTTGACAATTGGTAGCCATCTCTGTAATTGGTGAAGTTACACATTTTTTTTTTGGAACCCCAAAAAGTTTTCCTTGTTTTAACTTTTATACTAGCTGTTTTATAATTAAATTTGCATATAAATACTGTTTAAAATTCAGTTCAACTCTTGTTCATAACATGGGCAAACATAGATTTTGAATACACATAAGCTTAGTTAAAATCCTGTGTCCTTCAGACATCTCTGTTCCCATGCGGAATCTTACATAATTCCAACCAAATAGTGAGCAAGTAAGTAGCAGAAAGTGGAATTCCAATCAAGTAATATAGTTCTTACAGAGTGCTAATAAAACATTTTAGAAAAAAAGGGAGAAGCAAGTTAAAAAATAAGTTTAAACTGAAAAATTGTTCCAGATCTGCGAGATTATTTGGGCAATATTTGGATTTCTGTTAATGACACCATGTTCTTTGGATAATATTTGCATTCTGTTGTCCCTGCTTAGCCCAAATAAAGGTAAATGATAATTACCATACACACTACCTTAGTAGAGTGGTGAGAAGTAAAATTCACACATTTCTAAAAATGGGAAAGAATATATTTATTATTGGAGAAAGATCCCAGGTTAAATATACCTTTAGTATAATGTAACACTTGAGCCTGGAAATTTCTTCATAATACCCTATGAAATTTTGACAATTTTGGTGCTAATTTTTTTTAGTGAGATATTTAAGTGTCATAAACCACGTCCATGGTTGGCTGGTTGGCTGAACCCTATGGTGGCATGTAGTTTCTTGTATCTAACAAGTTGCATATTTTTCCTAGAAAAAAAGCATTTTCTGTGTTTTTTTTTTTCAGGAATTTATAACTTTAAAGGTTTTCTTAGCAGTTATTCTACATGGACTTCTCTCAAAAAGTTGATTAATATTTTACAATCAAGAAACAAAATCAGATTTTTTTTTAATTATCTGTATTGGGAAGTACAGTATTACAGTACAAAAAAAAAGCCAAATGCTCAAATTTGGAGCTTGACAGCCAATAGTAATAATATTTTTCCCAGACTAAAGGCAAGTGAGTAGTTGGCTAGCTATGCTACTACTGTGTCTTATTTCAGCAATTGGAGAATTTTATTGGGATAAGTATTTCTTGAAGCGTACTTTGAAAATGGAAAAAGGCTCAGTGATATTTTGGGTTTGTTAAAGATCCTAAAATCTTTACACATGTGACTCAAGGACTGTATAAACAAAGGAAAGGTAGTTAAGATGATTATATAGGAATTCAAGTTACATACAAAGAAAATTAGGCAATGGGACATTTTTATCTTTGGTATGATAAATAATTAAAATATGTATTCACTGTTCAACTTTGTAAGGTTTTCTTACCATCTTATTTTAAAAATTTGTTACATCAGTCTTTACATTGTAAAGCAGAAAATAATGAAAAGTAATAAACCTAGATGTCTAAAATAAGGTGACCCTAAACAAAAATACCAGTCAGGGGGCACCAAAAAGTATTGTGCATTTATAGAAATACCAGCCTTTCAAAATTTGACTTTTAAAACAAAAGACTTTGTACTTTATCATTGTGTTTTTATTGAGTTTATGGTATTTTTATAACAATCTTTACGAGCTTAGCATAAATGCAAGTTGTTTGAAAAAAGGTGTTTTCATTTGTGTATAGTAAATTGGAGGTTTTCACTAGAAGTCATGAAATTTTGTATATCTGCATAAAATATGAATAAGTTCATTTTCTCCAGTGCTACAAGAAAGTATAATTTCCCTTTGGGATGCATCAGAGATATAATGTACATAATAATAGTTCTGGCCTTACCAGTGCCTAATGTTGAAAATATTTTTAAAGTAAATTTTAATAGGAATCACTTATTCTACTATTCAAGACTATGCATCTTTGCACTGGTGTTAATGAGGTATGAATTAAATTTTATGAAACGTAAGGAGATACTTTGCTGCTATTCTCTTAATCAGGCATATATGTATGTATGTATGTATGTCAGTGCAGTATACCATTAAATCTTTTACTTTGCCATTCAGGGAAAAAGCTTCCTATTTGATGAACATGAAATATTTCCTTTATAGAATATATTAGAATGCACATTTTTTGTAACACAAAAAAAATATATGACTTAAATCTCCATCAACCAGTCTAAACGCTTTGGATCTTTTCTTCATGGGAATTATGGGTCGCAGTTGTCTTCTGAAACATCTCTAGTCAGTCACGAGTTTTGATCAGACAGAATCTGTGTGAGCCGGCAGTGAGCTTCATATCCATTGATATATATTCATAAAAAGATATCCAAATATTCATAAAAAGAAAAACTGTTAAACTGAAGAAACACAAATTCCATCATAAGTAAAAATTTATTTAAAATAGAAATCGAAGCTAGTCAAAGTTGGTACTGAGTAACCAAGGTTGTTTGTTTATAGATTGTATTTTAAGATAGTTCTTAAATATTTATGATTTCAGTTTATTTAAAATGCTTTAATGTCCAATATATACCTGTATAGGTGACAAAAAATATCAAATAAAACTTGTATACCTGTTGGTACCCTTAATAATAGAATTCGCAAATATATATAATAGCATATACATTATGGCTTTAGGATTACCATGGACTTGTGGTCTTTTGTAGCTCCTGTTTCTCTGCCCAACACTTAATTTTTGTTGTTCTTGGCATTTAGTCCAACAGCCTGCATTCTCATCACTTCACTTATCATCTAAAAACAATGCCACCACTCCCGTGGCTTCATTCAATAGTTACATGTCAGCAACTCCTCTAAGATGCTCAGAGAAAGGGGCTCAGCTTTCTTCTCCGACATCTTTTCTGCCTGTGTTTCCTCTCCCTGTCTGTCCAGTTAGGAATGACAGGTGACAGCCTGGGCTCTTGTCCTTCCGTCACTGCCCACATTATAGCTAATGTGCAAGCTTTGACCATTTTATTTCAAAAAATGTCCTTAATCTGTTTTTCTACATTCCTACAATTGTTAACAGTCCATTGTGTAATTATCTCACTTGGAATTCTGCCTCATAATTCTAATTTGTTCCTTTGCATACATTTTCCACTTCATAGTTACAGTAATCTTTCTAAAAGTAATCTTTCTAAAACTCTGATCTGCTTGACCTAAATCTTTTCTGTATTTTTTTCTGTTGCCATTATGACAAAGTGCTGAGTGTTTTTGCAAGGTCCTTCGTAGACCAGTTCTCGCATTCTTCATCTTTCCATGCTACCATATCACCCTTCCTTCACAGTTCTCAGCTATTCTCAGTTTCTTGTATAGGTTCACTGAAGGAGACATGTTCTCTCACTTCCAAACTTTTCACATTTTTTACTATATCCCTTTAATATCCTCCTGCAAAACTAGCCTTAAGGCCTCAATGTTGACGTCATTCCCTACAAGAAGACTTTCCTGGTTCCTTTAAATCCAATTTGGTACTTCATTTCTTGGTTCCTTACTTTCCCTATCAGAACTTCTCTTACCATGTTGTAGTAACTTATGTATTGGCTCATTCCATTTGAATATGGTCTTTACAAGGGCAGAGACTGAATATATCTTATCCATAATTGCGTTGCCAGGGCCTTATACAATGCCTGGCAGAAAACAGGTGCTCAAATATCTGTCAATATACACGTTTATGTATAAATGTTCTTCCTATATTAATGAAGATTTAGAGTTGATTGTCCTTTAGGTAATCTCTGACTCCAAAAAGATATTCATTGAGCATAGAGAGAATGATCTGTTCCCTTTTAATGGGGAATATTACTGTTATTTGCATACATAATTAATATTTCTATAATACACTGTATTACTTAAGAGGAAATATATTTTGTGCTGTACTTGGTTAATTCACTGTTTCTCTAAAAGATTTTACAATACACAAGGTCAATGATACTACCAAAATTTCATTTTTGCCCAGTATTTTTCAAAAGAACTTTACTAAATTTAATTTTTTCATAAACTCTGAAGCCATAACTAGGAATTCTCAAATATAAATTTTGTATTTTAGGCTCCAGAATAAATTTGCTATTAGAATACAGCATGGGCCCGGCGCGATGGCCTAGCCACTAAAGTGTTTGCCTTGAAAGCACCAGGATCCCATATGGGCGCTGGTTCTAATCCTGGCAGCCCCACTTCCCATCCAACTCCCTGCTTGTGGCCTGGGAAAGCAGTTGAGGACGACCCAAAGCCTTGGGACCCTACACCCCACATGGGAGACCTGGAAGAAGTTCCTGGATCCTGGCTTCGGATCGGCACAGGTCTGGCTGTTGCGATCACTTGTGGAGTGAATCATCGGATGGAAGATCTTCCTCTCTGTCTCTCCTCCCTTCTGTATATCTGACTTTGCAATAAATATAAATAAATCTTTAAAAAAAAGAATATAGCCCAATAGCCAGACTATATATGTTGAAAAACATGTATATACAGTTCCTTGTTATTCTTTCTAATAAATAATTCTGTTTTAAAATCCTAAACTCTTGAGTGTTTCTTCTGAATCTGTCCAGCTGTTCAACTTGTCAGCTACTGTTGACACATCAGGTGTGGACATTATCCCCTGAGTTTGGCTAGAGCGTGTCTGCTGTCCTCATCCTTGTTGCTGGAGCAGAAGGCAGACGTGTTGTGTGCAGGCAGCTCCCCAGGCAACAGAAACTGAAGAAAACAAAACCAGAGCCTCTGCCTCTGGGTTACATTTCATCTTTTTCTCACTTTGACTGTGTTGTGACAGTTACTAAATTAACACCTACAGATGCCTACTAAGGTCCAAAACATAGTCATTACTGGACTTAAAAAGTTGTGTTGGTATCTTTTCAGCCAAGTTTTATCATTTAACCTTTCATCAGCTTAATTAGTTGGGAGTTTCCTTGACTGTTATCCAAAGTACCACAGAGCACAGTCACTTCTATACTAAAACAGAAGTAGTTAGTTGGCTATTGATAGTTGTTAGTAGCTACTAATTGTCCACAATATTGTGAAGAACTAGTGGATGACATAATTTTAAAAACAAAAATGATAAGGCCCAGTGTGGTAGCCTATTGGCTAAAATCCTCGCCTTGCACACATCTGGGTTGCTTATAAGCGCTGGTTCTAATCTCGCTGGTCCCAATTCCCATCCAGCTCCCTGCATCTTGGGAAAGCTGTGGAGGATGGCCCAAAGCTTTGGGACCCTGCATCCATGCAGGAGACCCAAAAATGGCTCCTGGCTTCAGATTGGCTCAGCTCTGGATGCCTGGAAAGTGAATCAATGGACAAAAGATCTTCCTCTGTCTCTCCTCCTCTCTGTATATCTGACTTTCCAATAAAAATAAAATAAATCTTTCTTTAAAAATTATATATATATATATCCTGATCATAACTATTTTCCTAGGAGTAAGGCAATATTCAAAAACCATCCAGATTTGAGATTTGATATCTACTGAATGCCCTACTCTGCCCATCATGATTATTTTTGTTAATAGATTTTCATAGTTTTAGGTATGTGATATTAAAAATAAGTGTACTTTTATTATTTAATAAAGGTTAAGAACAAACTAGAAATGACCACAAACAGGAAACACTTCTTAGGTGTTACGAGAAAATGAATGAAAATGAACATGACTAAATTGTCTTGTACAAACAATGCACTGATTTTTTATGTAATGTAGAGTATTTTTTTTTTTTTTTTAAAGATTTATTTTTATTATTTTTTCATTGGAAAGGCAGATATACAGAGAGGAGAGACAGAGAGGAAGATCTTCCGTCCGATGATTCACTCCCCAAGTGAGCGCAACAGGCCGATACCATGCCGATCCGAAGCCAGGAGCCTCCTCCGGGTCTCCCACGCGGGTGCAGGTTCCCAAAGCTTTGGGCCGTCCTCTGCTGCTTTCCCAGGCCACAGGCAGGGAGCTGGAAGGGAAGCGGGGCTGCCGGGATTAGAACCGGCGCCCATATGGGATCCCGGGCGGCAAGGTGAGGACCTTTAACCACTTGCGCCACCGCGCCGGGCCCATAGAGTATTTGTTTAACTGTCAAACCAGTGGCTTTCAGGCAGGGGTTTTGTTTGTTTGACTTGCTTAATTGGAACATCTTACATGATATAAGTGGTGCCTCACTTACAATGTGGCCACATCCCAGTTCACCTGTAGTAAAATGAAAAGGTTATCAGATTGAGGATGCTTTAAGGGACCAGCATTGCAGTGCAGCACGTTTCTTTTAAGATTTATCTACTCATCTGGAAAGCAGAGAGAAAAAAACTCTTGCATCTGCTTATTTGCTCAACAAATAGCTTCAATGGCCTGAGTTGATCCAGGCCAAGAATCAGGAGTTCCATCCTGGCTGGCAAGGAAACAAGCACTTAGGCCTCTTCTGCTCCCCTCATGATGCATTATCAGGGAGCTAGGTCAGAAGCAGGACTACCTGGCATGCCAGTACGGAATGGCTGCATTGAAAGCAGCAGTTTGACTCATTGCACCTGGACCAGTTTGACTGGTCCTGGTCCTGGTGCAGTGGGTTGAGCTAACTGCTTGCCATGTCAACATCCTGTGTTGGAGGCCTGACTCAAATCTGCTACTCCGTTTCCAATCCAGGTCCCTGCATCTGAGAAGGTAAACAATGATAATGCAAATGCTTGGCCGCTTGCCACCCATATGGAAGACTAGAATGGGGTTCTAGACTCCTGACTTCAGCTTGGCCCAACCTTAGCCATTGTCTACCCCTGCCCCCCTCCTCCCTCTTGCCCATGCTTCCACCCTCCCTTCTACTTTCTGAGCTATTTCTTCTTTTGATTTTTTTACAATGACATACTTTCAGTTAATTCTATAATCATAAGGCTAATAAAGAATTCAATGAGCAGTAAGCAGAGAAACTACTGTTACTCAAAAGTGTAGCAAGAGCTATAAGCAATAATCAAATCCCAAAATGTCAATTTTACTCATACATTATATTTTTTGTACTTTGTATATCATGTTTGACTTTTTGGAACTGGCTTATTTCACTCTGAATAGTGGTTTCTAGCTAAATCCATTTTGTTGCAAAAGATAGCATTTTGTTTTATCCTGAGTACTATTCCTTGGTGTATACATACCACATCTCATTTATCAAGTCATCGGTTGATGGTCATCTAGGTTGATTCCATATCTTAGCTGCTGTGAATAGCCAAGCTCATAACTCTTATGAGCTAATTTCATTTTTGGGTAAATTCCCAGCAGTGGAATGGCTGAGTCATAACTATTTTTG